TTTTATAAGAAAGAGCAAATAAAATTTATATATTTATACTCCTTATAATTTCGTCTATTCAAAAAAAGTGTTAAAAATTTCATTTTTTAAATAAAATAGGTCAAAAACAATTTCATCTTCAAATTTTAATTTTGGGTTTTAGACCCCAAAATAATTTCGTCGGCATGTATAATTGTCACGGGCAATCACAAGTAGATCTACAAAAATTAACCAATCATATGAATGTCTTCCTATGAGACAGATGTATCAAAAATTATGATAATAGCTATAAAGTAAAAAGAAAAGGTTTGATTGGTTAATTTACTTAAGTTATAATTTTGACTATAAGTTTACCAGATATTATTGGACCTAATCAAGCTTTTTTATAAAGCCTGAGCCTGGCCTAATCTTTAACAAGCCTGATTTGTGTTTGGCATGAACAATACAAGCTCAAAAATTATAGGCCCAAACTGGGCCAAAGCCCGGCCTGGCCCAAAAGTTTCCAGGTTTAGCCTGGCCTGTCCTGCACCCTAGAAGTAAATAATGAGTTTAATTAAAAAGGTTGCGGCTTAAGATACAGATCAGATTATAGCAGTATTTATAAAAAAGTGGCTTGAAATATAAACTCAATGACAGCAGCACAACAAATACTAGTTAGATGCAGAGATTTAATAGTTAGCCCTGACCTTGAGCATAGGTCAAGCTATGGCAAGAGATTACTGAAGTCTAGATGAATACATAGGTAAGATATATACTTTAGCAAAAAGTTAGTCATTGGTTTCAGAATTGAGACTTAGTGCAACTCCACAAAGTGGTGCTACTATTACATCAAATGCTGAAAGAAAAGTAACTAAATGGGTTAGGTGTTTTATGCAATAGTTAATGTATATGTAGTATAGTATCTGTCATTTAGAAATAGTTCTCATATATTATTTGCCAATAGGCCTAGAGTTTATCACTTACTATTTATATATTTATATAAAGTTAAGTTGCAAAAATAAATACCTAGCAAGATAGCCAAAGTTAAAAAAATAAATAAATAAATAAATATAAATTCTATAGTATAAAATAAAGTTGTGACATGATTATTAAAAAAAAAAAATTTTTAATTTGACAAATTTAAAATTAATACTTTGCCCATATCTACTTTTTTAGCAATTATGCAAAAAATAAATTTTGCAGGCAAATTTGCCTGCATAATATATTAAAAGATACTCTACTTCTAGTATAATGAAGACAAAATTTACATAAAAAAATAAATACAAAATAAAAACCTGGCTTATTTACTTTATTTATATACAGCATATTAAAAACCTAGTTTAAAGCATAAAAGTGTAATTTATTTTTTATATAGATATGATTACATAGAAATAAATAATAATATATAATACAGTATACTGTATTATTAATTATTTTTACATAATAATTTAGTGCTATACTTCAAGCCCAACATGATGATTTTCGTGCTCTAAACTCTAGCTCTCTCTAAATACAAACTTCTCTAAATGCGCGTTTTAGATTAGTTTGTACTAGAGAACTAATTCATTTCACCAGAAAACTGGTGCACTATCGGTGCACCGTTGAAGATTAGTTTCATCTATAACTCTAGTTTCACCATCGGTGCACCAGTTTCACCTGGTGCACTATTGAAGATTAGTTTCACCTGCAACTCTAGTTTGTACACATTGTATTTAAAAAGATTTAACACTATAATTCTAAAAAATAAAATTTCAAGATTTATCACGTGGTCTAATTTTAAAACAACTTTAATTTCCTTTTTAGGTTTGTGTTACTCGCGACAACAAATATAAATCGTAGGAAAATAAGCCAACCCATTTTTACGTGCAGCGTGTTAAGCGTATTAGATTACAAGATGAATTCACACATATTGGAAAACTTTGAATCACTTCTACACACAAGCACCATTCAACCTGATGCATTAATTCAAAATATACAAACCATCGAAAAAAAACTTCATGATAATAATTATGAAGAAAATTTATTACCACGAACTTTAGCCCTTCTATCAATATCCTATAAATGTTTTATCACTATTTAATTACATAAAACCTATATGTTTTCTTGACTTACTTAATATACTATGCAATCCATGCCCCTATTCTTTTTTCTGTTAGGGCACGTTCGATTGATTGTTTTAAAGAAATACTGCGACTTAAAGGACCTATAGTATCTAATTTAATGAATGAGATAGTGTTAGGGCTTCAAGCAGTAAGCAAACAACTAATTGTATATTTGAATAATTTTCGTGTTTTTAAACAATTCATCGTCGCAATCAGGTTCAATCACTATCCGAAGGTATTGAAGCTGCGTTACGTGAAATTGCAGTTCGAGCGCAAAATGCAAATGATCAAATTGATATATCAAAATTTATTAAAGTAAAACCATTAAAAAATTTGATGCAGTTTTTTTATCTTAGATAATATTCCTGCGAAAGCCCATACCTTATTGATAGACTTTTGTAATTTTTGTGATAGGTTCATATCTCATGCTTCAATCTCATAAACAACATAATGCAAATTTTACATGATAAAATGACAAGTGGCATATCGCAAAATGAACTATTCTTGATGGAATTAGGTCATCAATCTAGCGTGTTTTCCAATGTTAGGTCATGTATTTTTAAGGCGAGCCATAGCGTTTTCGTAATCGTCAAGGTTTGTTAAGTCATACAAGTTATACAAAGTGAGTAGTGTATTTGTCTATTTAAAAAATTTTTTTGTAAACTTAGGTGCCGGCGTTAAAGAAGAAGTTATCTCAGAACAATGAACTATTGCAATTAAGTTCTACGTGGCATAAAAAGGCCTTCAAAGTTCTTGAAGATTTCTTGAAATTTGTAACTGAATTTTTACCATCGTTGGATAAGCTCAATATGAGACGCTATGAGATGCTCGCAACGGACATTTCTGATGGTGCATGATTTTGACAATTGTATTTTAGTATATCGATTAATTTTATTCATTTATGAAACAAATTATCCTATCCTAGTTTGTAATGGCCTTATTCTTATAGCCGAAACGAGCGTATCAGATTATCCTACCCTCAATTTGTCTTGGAAATACATTATAAAATTGTCAATTGAGTATAAAAATGATATTATTAAAAAAAGATTGAAGGTACTAACATGTCATATATTACTTTGTCATATGTTTTATTATTGATCATAACTCAATATTATACTTTATATTTCTTAGCTGGATTCTATTATTTACAATCTTAGTTGTGGTGCATCTTGCAATTTTTTTAAATTAATAAAGTCGATTAATTCTGATGTAACTTTTCTGCAAGAACCTTCGAATATCAAACAGATTGACAAAACATCGACAATTGTACGATTTTATATTACTCACTTATTGAGCATTGTAAAATGCTATGTTGATGTAATTTTGAAGAATGAATACAAACATATTATTCGAACAATACTATATGCCTTAATTTTTATTGTAAGGTGAGAAATTTTTATTCATTTAAACTAGTGAGATGTATTACTAACCATATTCTAAAAATTTTATTTCTTAAAGCAAATCATCACCCAACTGCCTAATAACGACATATGCCAGTAATTTACTACAAGAGCGCATTCTTCCTATTGTTAACAACATATTTGCCGCGTTGTTCCTAAACAACATAGCGTGCGAAGATGAACGCTATACGATGATTTTTAATTTTACCAATCTATCTATTGATGCTATGAATCGAGAAAACTCTGTCATACCCGAAATTATAGAGACTGTTGATTTTACATTTGCAAAAATTCACCTTTTACAAATAATTTTAATAAATATTAATGATATTTCAGATTCTTTGCAATCAAGATTATTGCCGAATCCATTATTAGTGAGAGATTCAAAACAAGCATTTTGTATATTAAGAACCTTTTTCGATATATTGGAGGATTATCCGGAAAGTAATTTACTTACATCTACGATTATGTCTATTGACAAAAGCATGCATCCTTTGCAAAATATCTCTCAACACCATGAAGATAATCTCTACATCCATATTTTAAGCACTTTATGTATATTCGCAAACATGTTGCCTACATTTCTGTTTATAGTATTTGAATATCGTATGCTGGAATCATTGTTATTTTCACGGAGTTTTATCATCTGTACTTTGATCGTTGACTGCTGGGGTTGTGTTAGTAAGATTTTAGACAGTCATGTATTGTATCAAGAAGTTGTGCTAATAATGGAAATTGTAAGTTACATATGTAATCTATTTCATTTATGGAAAAAAAGTGTGTTAACTGATTTCTTCACAGATAGTTGGTCTTGTGCATACGTCTTCAACTCGTTGCCGATTAAAGAGGTTATTTAAACGTCTAATAGCATTTCTTGATGTAGAGCAACAGGTTATTTATTTTATATGAGGTATCATGACATTGTAATTCAGGTTGATTCTTTACTAATTACAATAACATCATATCTTTAGCTTGAATTATCAAAGCTTGTTCGTTCTTATACTTTTCAAACAGGTGAAAACACTGCACAGATGTTATCAAGTAGAGAATATACAACTGCCTATGTGAATGACATTGAAGTTTGTATCTAAAATAAGTTTTGCTCAACATGATGAGCAATTAAATAACAAAGTGTTATCGTTATATGTTTGCATAGAATAATTCGGTTAATTACGTGAAATTATATGCATGGATTAATTCATACCTTGAAAAGAAGCCAACGCATTCTGTTGATGACCTGTTCTCAATTGCAAGTATTACACTTAAAAGTAATTTTTATATCCTTAATGTTATAAAGAAATATTAATATTGTTTTAATGTTATTTCATTTAGTATTTACTTGTTTTGCAATCTAAAAACTTGATGCCATGTTGCATAAAATATGAAGGCGATATTAAATATATTTTGTTTAATATCGCGCTGAATATCTTAAAGAGTATCAATTGCATTGACTCGATACCTGACTTTTATCCATCATCAGCTGAATTTCGAAAGGTAAAGAAATTTATCATTCGTTTTTATACATAATAGATTTATATTTCCTTCAACTGACAATTTAATAATTTCATAGATACTTGTTACGATTGATGGAGTGCTTGAATTTATGATAAATTTACAATTGCTAACTTTATCTGAAGTATTGGAGGTATATACCAAGTTTTTGATTTATGATAAATCGAGAATTGTTATTATATTGATTATATATTTGCCTATGTTTAATATCGATATGTGAAAAAGGTACTTAAGGTTGTGGATCATTGTACTCCTTTGCTAGTGAATAATTGCATTTGCCATACGTCTTTATGTAATTTTATTGACAAGTTCACTAAACTTTTGCTTGAAACGAATGACAAGGTAATATTTTATTTCGTTCAATTATAGAGTTCAAATGTTTATTTATCTATTTAAATATATACGTAAATTGCAGCAAATAGTTGCGACTGTTAATTCGATATATGAAAGGATATTTACGAGTACAAGATGGTTTACAAAACACGAAGCAATTGCCCAAATTGTTGGTTTTATTTTATTATCATAAATATTTCAAGAACAAGATATAATGAATAATAATGATATCCCCTTTGACATGCTTCCTTTACTTAGGCCAGCTATGCTCAACATTCACGTAGTCTTGAAATAATTCATCCGGCTATAACACAACAATTGCGTGAGCCAATTATGAAATTTATGAATCGAATGCCATCATATTTCGATGATGAATTGGTCTCGGTATGCCTGTTAACAAATTTGTTTGTTAAATGTGGTATATATTTATTATATTTATATATATATATATATATATATATATATACAATTAATTTTTAATAGGAAATAAATTTCTGGCGATCCTTAAAAGACAGAGATGAACAGAAATTTCACTTTGTGAAATTGAAAGATTTATTCAACAGAGATTTAATTTCAATTGCAACGAATATTTTCTCAAGTTCAGTAAAAATTGATTATGATATAAATAAATCAACTTTGGAATGCTTGAAGGGAGCTCACTTGGTAAACGTATTTATTCGAAATTACTTGGCAGGGAACCAAAAGTCGGAGGTTTCTTCTGAGCTAAAGTTAGTTTTTAATGATTTAAAAGATAATTTAACTAAATTTTTTCAAAGTTGATATTCCTTTGCTGAAGTTGGTATTATTATTATTAATTTAATAATTACATAATTTTTTTTAAGTTGCTTTACTCATTTGTCAATTAATATATTATTAAATCTTAAATGTACCTAATAGTTAGAGATTTTATTTACGTATTATTACGTATTAATGGGGCGTTACATATTTGTGAACCAAAAAAAGTAGTGTTAGTGTTGGAGGCACAGCATAGCGATGGAAGTAAATTTTTACTACTACTTTATATATATATTAATTTCGGTCTTGCCATTTTTAAACGGTTGCTTTCGTGATTGAACCTAGGTGCCGCACAAAAAATGCGCGGCAGATCCTCGATTTTGTTCCTGGGCCAATTTTACCATAGTGCGGGCTTATTTTATTAAATATTTCTATTTTTGTAATTAAAAAATTAAAAAGTTGATTCCGGCCGGAAATTAGGAAACAATTATGTAATGCGGGCCAAAATTTTGAAGATCCTCG